TAAAAAAGGTTGATTTCCAAAAGTCACTTGAAAGAGCCCCATGGCCCAAGGTATACCACAGAGACTCCTGTAGTGTGGACACGGTGCCCTTTGATGGGCACATCTCAGTTCCTGGCAGAGGGACGGGCTGTGAAAGGGAGGGGGCAGGGAGGAAGGCGCTGGAGACAGACCCCCAGCAGGACGCCCGCCACAGCTTCTGAGGGGTTCTGGACGAAGCACGGTAAGTACAGGCTCTAAGCAGGGCCTAGGTTCTAAGCTGGAAGATGAAGAAGTCACGCGATCCTAGACTTGCCTTCGGAAAGGCCAAGTTTAGCCTCATTTTTCTGCTGGGACCGTGAGCCCAGAGGATCCGGAGAGGAGCAGGAACAGGAGATGATGCCTCTCCTGTCCCTTACCACGAATCAGAGCTGAAGATGCTGACAGGTCAGTACTGGGCCGCCCCTCCCCCCCTAAAGTCCCCCCTCCAAAGTCCCCAGTCCAAGCCGGTCGGCAGTGCGGTGAGGGAGCCTCAGGCGTAGAACTCGTTGGCGGGGGCCTTTCTGTAGATGGGCTTCTTGCCCAGGTCGTAGCTGCCCTCGTCTTTCTTCTTCATGCGGTACATGAGCAGCAGGACCAGCAGCACGGCAAAGAGGACGCCCACGGTGCCGCCCACGATCAGAGCTGGGGAGGGACAGCAAGGTGAGAGCGGCTCCTCGGGGCTTCGGGTGCCCTCCCGCGCCCAGTCGCGTCTCTTACAATGAGACAGCCCCCCCATCGCCACTGCCTGTGCCCTGCGTGCTGATGCCTTATCTGATCCTCACGGCCTCACCTACGAGAAGGGGGTGTGGGGGGGTCACTGAAGACCACTAAGCCACCATTCCAGCCCACATCGGCCGAGTCCAAAGCCCGGCTCCTTCCAAACACCCGGCCGGCTCCCCAGCAGCAGCGCAGCCCTAACTGAGCCAGCAGCGAGGGAAACTGCAGACCATGGCAATGGTCATAGACACGCACTTAGCGCTGTCCCCCAGCTGTCCCCGGGTGCACCTGTATGAACACCGGCCTACACTTCTGCAGACAGACACATCCATGTACACACAGGTATACACTACTGTGCACGGGTGTAACACACTGTCCTGTCCACCCTACTATGTTCTACATAATTGTAAATGGTGGTTCATGATCAGCAGTTAGGGCCTAATGTCCCCTTCCCTCCCTCCCACTTACTGGATGGGTGATCTTAAGTTCCTTCATCTCACTCACTGCAAAATGGAAATAACAGCACCTTTTGCATATGTGTGTTCTACGAATTAAGTACATTAATCCACTTAGAGTGCTTAGAAGTGCATAGCATATGCTCTGCACTCATAAACTGTAAATGTCTGTGGTTTCCATCTGGGTCTCTAGCACCCTGAATCGGGCCTGGCACAACAGCAAAGGACACTCACAGCTGGGCCCAGAGAGGAGCACAGCCCAAGGGCACCTGGCCTGTGCCAGGCAGATGTGGGCTTCTAACTCAGGTGGATGCCCTCTGCACTCCGCCAGGAGGCCAGCACGGCTCACTCCTGTTTATTGAGGGGGCAGGGATGTCTCACAGAATCCTTTCTGTGGCCGATTGAGTCCCCTAATTCGGACTTACTCAGGCTAAGACGATTAATTTTCTTTACCTGCACACACTAAAGCTATGCAGAGAATGGAGCACAGGAGCCAAGTAAGGTTCTTTCTTGGCTAAAACTCTATGAAAAGCAGCAAGAAAGTACCCCCAGGAGATGCCAGGAAGAGAGAATATCAGGCCCAGCAGTTGAGCATCGACCTAGGATCCAGGAGATCGTGGTTCGATTCCTGGTCAGGGCACATGCCTGGGTTACAGGCTCGATCCCCAGTCAGGGGCATGCAGGAGGCAGCTGATCAACAACTCTCTCATCATTGATGTTTCTCTCTCTCTCCCCCTTCCTCTCTCTGAAATCAATAAAGATATACTTAAAAAAAAAAGAGAGAGAGAATATCAGGTACCAATCCATTCTTGTCATTCCCACCTTTCCCTCCAAAGACCCCAGCTCTTCTAGAAGGTCAAGGTTCAAGTAAAGACTCAGAAGTGACTGTGGTCCTAGGTGCCAGGTCTACCACTTTCTGATTTTATGACTTTGGACAAGTGACTTGGCTTCTTGAAGACTCAAGTTTCCTTCTCTGTAAGGGTATCGATAGCCATACCCATCTGATAGGGTTGCTGTGGGGACTCCAATGAGGAGGGCACATGAATCACATGGCACATAGTAAACACTTGATAAGCTCCCAGATGCTGTTTTAAATGTGCGATGGGAGGGTCCTGCCTCAGCTAGCTCAGCAACGTAACTTCACATGAAGATCACATCCTTGTACCCTTGTCTACTGCAAGATTTAACAGAGGACCTGCCTTTAGTCCTGACTCTTGCTATGTAGCCCAAAGCAAGTGGTTTGCCTTTTCTGGGCAACAGCTGCCCCATGTATAAGAAACAGTTGCTTGGAATAGATCAGTGGTTTTTAAAACCACTTTTATGGTTAAAAAAAAAAGGAATAGGATCCTTAGTTGGTAAAAACAAAACTTTCTGTGAATCCCACACATGCAGCTGAAAGTGAAACTGTGGTTGAAGAAAGATAGGGGAGGTTTTAAAACACTTCAACCAAAGAGTCTGAAACTTAAAAGACTAAATGGTCTCTAGGGTCCCAGGGTCAGGGCTGAGATGGGCTCAAAGTCACCTGGGGTTAGACTCCCAGGAGCTTCATCTGCCAGATACAGGCAAGATCCCTTATCTGTCCTGGATGGAGGCAGGATACAGGACTCCTTCCCTGTACCTCGAGCCTCCTGGGAGCTACTGGCCCAGCTGGTTGCCAGGAGACAAGAGTTACCCAACCTGGGCCCAGGGTGCCCAGTCACCAGGCTGGTTTAATCCAGACTGGCCGTTGGCCTGTGAAACCTGGTCAGAACACCTCCCTCTGATAATCTCCCCCTCCCCAGCTCTAGAGACCTCCAAGGCTGTCAGCCACCATCAGAGCTGACAAAGCCACTCCTGAAGCCTCACTCTGGGACACAGCTCTCCCCATAGCAGCACATTATAGTCAAGGAGCCTACAGCTCTCACCTGAGGCCAACCACTGAACCTCTCTAGGCCTCAGCTTTCAGTCTGTCACATGAAGGTTCCCTGTGTGCCACCTACTGCGAAAGGTCAATGAAGACTCAATGACAAATTTGTGAAAAATAATATGAATGGAGCCACTTCAAAATGGAGCCGGAGCTGCCACCCTAGAAGAACTGCTTTGCTGGTCTCACACCTCAAACCTTTGGAATGTTAAAACTGGACAAAGTAACTTTTGGAGGGACTGCGCCTAAAGCAGCATTGTATTCCAAAAACCTGTTTGCCAAGATAATAGGAAAGCAGATATCACGAGTGAAAATGAAAGACATTCTTTAGAATTAGCATCACTATGTTAGTTTATCTGCTTCCTTAGCTTATGTAACACCCATAAGGAATTCCTTTCTTCTATTCATGTACTTATCCCCCCCTTTTTCATCAATACCCCTTGCCTTCACCTCTAATAGGAACACTATTTGGGCTTCTTCTGCATGAATCAGTGCTTCCCAAATAGCTATTCTTTTGGATCTCAAATAAACCCTTGTTGCCTCTCACCTTGACCTTATATTTTAGGTTAACATATCATACTAACAAATCAGAACAGCCCTTTACAGTTTGCCTAGTTATTTCAGATTCCATTTTTCATGGAGTCATTATACCAGCTCAAGGAGGTATCACTGCCCCCACTTACAGAGGAGGAAACTGAGGCTCACCTCCACTGAGATTCAAAAGCCTCTCAGTCAAGGTCAGAAGATGTCAAGTGACAGGGGGAGGGGAAGCCAGCTTAATCCTAGGGAGTGTCTGGGCTTTCAAGGGAGGTTTTCAAAGAATGTTGACTTTTAATAATTAAATCCTTAGGTACCAAACCCAGAAGGTGAAAAAGCTTTGAAAATAAGAGAGAAGGGCTTGAGGCAAGTGAATGACTCAGCTTGTCTATTCTTTAGAAGACTTTGATGTGCAATCATGCTCCCCCTCCAGCAGGGTGCACAGTCAGAGCCCCCCCTTAGGGAGGTGTAGTCCTTCAAAGTGGGACACCCTGAGGGTGGCTGTAAAGAAGGGCCACCAAGGAGCCCATGGACTCAGGTGTCCCCGCCTGCAGCACTACCTCCCACTGAGCCCTCCCCCTCTTCGAGGTATCCTGTGGGGGGCAGGGGCCTTACCTGCCAGGACCTCTGTTCTCTCAAAGATGTTGCTGCTCTGGGCAGTGCTGGACATGGACACTCTGTTGGACATGTCCTCGCTCCCTTCAGGGGGCGGTGGCAGCTTCCTGGGGATGACTTCATTCTCTTCCAGCTCCTTGGGTTCGGTGGGGGCCTGGCTCCCAGGCCCCGCCCTCTCAGGAATGTGGTTATCTAAGGGCACCTGGGTGGGGTCAGGAGAAGAGAAAGGCTCAGTATGGTTTGGGGAGAGACCCAGGACAGGGAAAAGGGACATTTAGCTAGGTGGAAAATCTGGCTCTGCCATCTTGCTGACTGAACCATGTGGCCCTGGAGCAGAAATCAACTACGAACGACCTCAACAATGATGGCGTCAAATCCTTCCCCTCAACTCTTCTGGCAGGTCTGTCTCAAACTGGGAATGAGTAATGTGGCCAAAGGTACAAGGAAGCAGGTGTCCCCACTCACGCTGCTCGGTGGGTATCCTAAGAGCAACTGCTCTGAAGGGAAGGTTTGGCCAAACTGCAGAAACTGCCTGCCCTTAAATAAGCAATTTTGCCTCTGGGACTCTGTGTTAAGATGCTAACCAGAGATATGTATCAGATGTCTACTATAATTTCAGAATATCAAAAAGTTATAAACAACTTTTCCATCAATCAGGGGAGTCGGGTGAACTCTAACTATGCAGCCTCCAAAAATAGGAAGAGCATTTAATTATGTGGGGAAATACTCATGACCACTTTAAGTGAAAAATACAACACATAGAACTCGAGATCATCTGATATTCATGTTGGGAAATATCTATAAATTCCAGCAAAGAAAAGGGGCTGGAAACACATCTAAATGTTCACTCACAGTGATTATCTTGCAGGAAGGGGGGCCTACCCATGATCCACAATGGTGCCTGCCCCCAAGGAGCCCAGGTCACAAATAAAAGCTTTCTTGCAGAGTGAGGTCAGGCCCTCACTTATTCTGTCCCTCTCAACAGGTGTTAGAGAGGAGCCTGGGGAGAAGCAAGGCAAGCAAAGCAAAGTAAGACTTACCAAGTGTTGTATTACTTCAGGGAAGACCTTGGGGTCCTCTGAGTCATCTGTGAGGTCAGAAAGGCTGTGTGAGTGAGGCCAGTTACCCCCAGATAAATGACCCCCATTCAGCAGCGGCTGCTGGGAGTCCACACTTATAAGCAGCTTGTTCTTGGTTTCCCATCCACACCTCTGCCCTTGTAGGCCCCAGGTCTTTTTCCTTTTCTGAGGAAGGAAAACACTCAGTTCTTCCTACCCCAACCCACTCTCACTATGCCCTATGGGGATAGGTGCAGGCTGGTGCTCAGAAAGCCTAGAGCTACAATCAGCCCAGGGAGGGTCTCAGGGATGGAAATGGTTGATCCAGTTACTTTGTTTCCTCTTATGTGAGCAGGGAGGAGCACTGTAGGAAAATCCCCACAAAAGTGGTCACCCTCCCTGGAGGAGAGCAAATATTCCCTCTAGACCCGCACCCAAGGCTTGCCCATCGCACCTTCCATACCCAGATCTCCAGAGCCAGACAGCTCAAAGTCATCGAGTTCCTCCCCAGGCTCCCCCACATCCTCGTCGTCCGGTAGGGGTCCGGAAAAGTATCTGCCTTCTAGGTCTTGGGGGTCGATGACCTCAGTCTCTCGGATCTAGGGTGAAAAAAGGAGACAGATCAGTCAATAGCCCCCATAATGCTCTACAACAGCCTCTGAGCCCCAAAAGGCAGTGAAATGGGCATTCAAGAAGGTAAACTGAGGTCTGGAAGGGGACCAGGCCAGAGCCTAGAGCCCTGGGTTCTGGACTCCTCCTGGCGCCTAACTTGCTGTATGACCTTAGGCAAGTCCCTTACCCATTCTGGGCTAATAAAAATAATAAAAGTGGTAATAATCAGAATGTAAATATAGTACTAGGTACCATTTACTAAGCACTTGCTATATGCCAGGACCTGTTCTTAATTCTCAAAGCATGACTTTAACCCCATTTTATAAGCAAGGAAAGTGGACACTAAAGACATGAAATCATTTTCTTTTGGTGACAGAAGTAGCAAATGGAGGAGGGAGGAGCCCATGTTGGGCCGCCTGACTTCAGAGCCAGCGTTCCCACCCACACAGGCCGGCCAGAGGATACGCTATGCCAGGGTTCTGTGATGCCGCTGCAGCTGATTCACCCATGGCAGAGAGGGCTGCTGGCTCTGGGACACCTTTCCCAGCTGAGTCAGACTTGCCTGGGACAGGCAGGCTTGCTCACCCACACCCCAGGACAGCCTCAGGTCAGGGCGTTGTCCAGACCTAGTGACTCAGAAGTGCATAAACATCTCTTGTATTCAGCCTTCCAAAGAGCTCCCACACATCTATTCTGCTACCAACACGGTACACGACATGGAGAGGCATAGGTACACGACATGGAGAGGCATAGCTCCTGCCTTCACAGACCATCTGCTCCAGCACCCGTAAGTGTCATTCAGCCCCTACCCCATGGTCACAACAAAATCTTAGGTCCACCCCAGCTTACAAAAGTAACAAAGGCACAGGATGGCAAAGAACCTTCTCAAGGTCCTACAGTACACCAGCTACTCTGCTCCCAACCCCTAAGCTCAAGAGGGTAGGAAGCACTCAGAATGTCCTACACCCTTCCTCTTAGCTCCTGGGCTGAGGTTCTGTCTGCCCACAAAAGAGCAGCCTTGCACCAAGTTCATGATTGCACTAATTAATTCAAATATCAAAATGTCTACTATTTGCCAGAAGGGTTAGGGTTTCGATTAAGTTCAATACACACCCCAACAGTTTCTCATCCTCTGTCCCAGAACCCCTAACTGCAGGAGCCTGGGCTCTGCTCAGAACCATAGGATGCCAGCTGGAGGGGCGAGGGATGTCTTATTCTCTAAATTCAAAGAATATGAGAAAATATTAGCCCTGGACAGTCAGTAACTTGGCCAAGTTCACATAGTGAGTTGACTACATAGCTCACAGAGGGAAGAGGCCAGGTCTGTTTCTGATGCCCCAGAAACAGGCTGGTCCTCACCCAGCCGAGACTGCCTGTGACAGGAGGAAGCCTGAGAAGGAATACTGGTTCCTAAGACAAGGTTACCATTGCAGGAAGGGCCCAGGGCCTCCTGCACTCCTTCCACTGGCTTCCAGGGAGAGGCTGGTGGAAGCTGTCAGGCCCTTTCCCTCTTCCTCTCCCACGAGGACATATGCTAGATTCCCAGAAGGGAGCAGGGCCAGGCTGGGAAGAGGCAGTGGGGGCACCGCACCCCCTGCAGGAGGGGAGAATCTTTGCTGACTGCTTGGCACACATGGGGGTGGGGAGCCAGAAGGGGTTAAGCCCTGGTCAGGGATGACTTCATGACTTGGGAATCAGGAGCTGCTGAGCCACTGGTGTTGGAATTCCAGCCCCCCGCACATAGCCCTGTGCCTGCGGCTTTGGTTTGGCAGCTCAGAAGTAAGGTTTCCCGGTGGTTGCACAAACTGCCAGTACCTAGGGCGGGGTTCCTGTGCTCCTACCCCCTTCTGTTGCAAAGTCCTCTGTGGGCCAGGACCTGAGCGCAGGACCTGTGGCTTACCTAGCTAAGCACTTAGCATGAAGTGGTTCTGCTAATAGATCTTTCTTTACAGAAGTGGAAAAAGGGTGGGAAGGGGGCTCAGAAAGGTGAACTCACTTGCCCAAGTTCACACAGGTAGGAAATGGGCACACTGGGCCAGAACCCAAGCATGGGTCCCCTGAGCCTTTACCCATGTACACGTAAACCCACATGCATAAACACACGTGCACATAAAGTGCCCACCTACCCAGGGAGCCCTGTTCGGTGGATGTCAAACTAGCCCAGGAGGGAAAGATGGTGTCATGACCACTTGTTGACCTGGCCTGGAGACCAGACTGGCTGTGGGAGTCAGAGCTCCAAGTCCTCAAGACAGGGGCTGGGGTCCCAGCAGGGGCTGTTTCAGGCCGAGACCCTCCTTGTCCCCAGGAGCCGTATAACGTTGCTTCCTCACCTGCCTTTCAGTGCACACGAGTGTTTCAAAACAACCCATGGGTTAGCACCCACTGGCTGAGCACACACCTCCGCCCAACAGGGGTGAACCGAAGACTAAGGCAAGGCAGGTCCGGCGTCGCTGGCGCCACGCCTGCAAAGTGAGGCCTAACCAGATTTACTCCTGGTTAGTCTCTCTTTGTGGTCACCTGGTCACCCATAGCCCTTCATATTTACGCAGGGCTCCTGGAGAGGGTGAAGGGCCTCCCTAAAGTCACACCTGGAGTCCGCAGCCCCGTCAGGACTGGACCCCGTTAGGTACCTGCTCTGGCTCTGGAGGGACCGGGTCCCTAAAGGCTGCGTTAGAGCAGCCTAGGTGCCCTCCTGCAGCAAGTCCAGGTGGTTTGGCAGAATTGTGAGGTGTGCTGATAAGAGGAAACAGGAAATTAAATTCTTCAGCTCCAGAAGCACCCTCTCTGGCTCCTTCTCTGCCCATGACCCTTGACAACAGGCAAATTCCCAAGTGGGCAGGAACCCTTGAAGACGAGGCCAGCATGCCAGGACCGAGCTGCAGGGGCTTGTGGGTAATCATCCCTTTGTGTGTGTGGGGGGGGTTCCAACAGCCCTCCCTTCCCCCACTCTCTTTACAGCAAAGCCCATTCAGTCTGGGGTGGCTTTGAAGAACCAGGCCACCCAGCAGCCAGGCCCAGCCCTGACCAGAGAAGGACCCCACCCTGCTCCTGGCTAAGGATGTGGTCTGTTCTCCTCAGCTCACCCCATCCCTGCCCAAGGAACGTGTATTCACACGTGTGTGCATGCACAGGCATCCTCTCTGGGCCTTTGGGTCTCCCTGCGTCTTTGTCCTCACAGACACACAACAGAAATCACCAGGGGGACAAGGCAGTGGGCCTGGGTCTCCTGGACCCTGCTGGCCCCGTGGCTGGTGCGCACCTGGGGTTGGTGCCTGGAGGGTTAGAGATGCTGGATGCTTCCCACACTATCCATGGAAAGAAGGAGGGTAGGTGCTGTTTTGTTCTAAAGGGACTAACACCTGCCAACAGAAGGTATCTGAGGCCACAGAGCCCAAGCGTCTCATTTTATAACCCAGCAAACAGATTAAAAGACAAGGGGCTTTGCCAAGGTCACCCAAGCAGCTGGTGGCTGCGACAGAGCAGGACTTAGAACCTAGGTCTCCTGGCGCTCAGGCTAGAGTGTCCTCCCTCCCCTCTTCAAGGGTTTTGGTTGCCCCTAAGGGTCTGAACAGGTCCACAGGCAGTAGCTGTCAATCCAGATATACCTCCTTCCAGTTCTTAGGCTACAGGCATAAAGCTAGGAAAAGGTCACCAACCTTATCCCGAAGTCCTACAGCTTTTGTCACCCGGGACAAGCATGGGGGCTGGGGTGGCTATCACAAGTATCCACTGCATGCCAGGCACCAAGCCGGGTTCTTTTCTATATGAGCTCACTTTGTTGGCACAAACTGGTAGGGTGTTCTACCCATTTTGCGGGAAACTGAGGTTCAGTTGGGTTATTCATCTCAAGTCACAGAGCTAGAAAGTGACAGAGCTGGGATTCAATCCTAGATCTTTCTCAAGACTATATCTTAGTCACAACCAGACTTCTCACTGCCACCCATGCTTCACCTCTCCACTCCAACCTCACAGCCCACAGCACACACACACTGCCAGGCCAGGGCTCCAGGGCTCCAGGGCACCCCTTCCCTTTGCCAGGGAGTAAACACCGCTGAAAGTGATATTGCTTAAACAAAAGAACAGAAACTAGGCTGGGGCACCAGGGAGAAGTTCAGGGTCAGAGCTTGGTTAACTATGAACCGGTGCAAGGAGGGAGGAGAGCCCTCCCCCACCTGGCTCTTCCCCAAGGGGGACCACAATCAGGAAAGGAAGCCCCACCCCAGCAGAAAGGAAGGCTCTTCTAGAGCGGTTACCTGAAAAGGCAGGTTCATGAGCAAAACTGTATGAGTCTGGGGCCTTATTTCACACCTTGAACCCTCAGTTTCCTCTTTTTGTAACCAGGGCTAGTAGCACCTGGCAGGATGGGGAGGATTACGTGAAATGTACTAGTGTGTGCAAGGGACCCAGCACGTGGCCTGGTACGCAGCAGGTGCTCAACGACAGTGGCTATTATTAATCCCCATCTGTCTTCCTTCTGGATAAGGGGGTTAATGGTCAAAGAGTCAGAGAGACCTGGGAAAAGCTGAAGCAATTCCATTGCCGGAAAGGACGCGGTCGGAGGTACTTTGCAAACTGCACAGGGCTATACCCTATATTGGATCAGAGACCTTTCCACAACCAATCATGTCCCCTTCAGACTGTGCAAGGGGGAAAGACCCCAAGAGGGGCAGAGACCTGCCCAAGGTCACACAACATGGAGCAACCTGTCCTATGCAAAAAAGACCAGTTGTATTTCAGTTGTATTTTTCCAAAAGGATCAAACAGCAAAGGCGACGGATGCCTGAAATTCTATGCCAGAGTATTTCCTGACCTGCCTTGGGGATAAAAAAAAAATTATCTAGAAGGCAAAAACAACCACACACCAATCCCCAACCCGGTGCTCTGGTGCCTAAAGGGTTAAGCCAGGTCTGGGGGTGGGGTGGGGGTTCGAATGTCCTCTCTGCCCAGGCTCTGCCCACTCTGAGGTCGGGTTACTCTGAACACAATC